CCGGGAAGGCGGGAGACCCGAGAGGGAGGGGAGAAGCAGGAGGAGGAAAACAGCCCTGAGATGGTGGGAGCTGGTGGGCGAGGCTGGAGGGGAGGAGTGGGAGGGAGGGAGGAGGTAGAGCGGGGGTGGGGTAGGTGGCGGTGGAGTTTTTAAGCGGCGAACAGTTTTCCTGTGATTTCTTCGGGAAGGAAAATTAAACCCTCTCTCCCTGCCGTCTCTATCCTGAGAAGGCACATCTAGAGGATGCTTGAAGAGGTCTCACTCCCGTCTTCCCTCTGAGCGGAGCCGCCGCCTGGGGCACCGGCTGGAGAGGCCTGGGAAGGCAGGCCTGGGGTAGAGCTCCCAGAGCCTTGGGCTGCTTCCCGCCCAGTTCGGCCTCAGGGCCAGCCTCCGCGCCGCGGCGGACTGCCGGAGGCTGCGCGGGCCTCCTGAGGACCCGGCAGAGCAGAGAGGCGAGAGACCTCGGGAGCTGCGACTCCCCGGGGAGGAGGGCCAACCAGCATCTCCTCACTCCTAGTGAACTAGGGCGGATTTCTCTTCTCTCTCTCTTCTCTCTCTCTCTCTCTCTCTCTCTCTCTCTCTCTCTCCCCAGACTTTAGGAACTAAGAAAGGCATGGGTTTGACTCCAAGTTCTGCAATTTATGCACAAACTTAACCTTAGACAAATGACTTAACTTCCCTTAGCTGGTCTGATCTTTCCCATGGGAGACACCCCCTTCACATGGGCGTGATGAACAAAAGAGATCATAGACAGAAAATTCCTGGAACATAGCAGGCACTAAGCAAATCCTTTCATTGCTCCCCTTTCCCCCTCTCCATCTCCTATTAAAAACTTGCCCACTCTGAGATATGTTAGGCATCAACAAGGCTCTTAAAGACCACAGGCCCATTCTCCAGCTACTGGGTGCATCGTGCCATAGACTCAGCTGTTAACCTGCGCCCACCCAACTGCTTGGCTGCACCACTTCTCCAAGACCAACAACCTGTCCTCCCGGTAAGGGTAATCCCAACTGCTCCTCTCACCAGCCCCCAGACTTCAGGCTCAAGGTAGAATCCCTTGGGGACTCAGGGGCCATACCCAGGTGTGTGGTGAAGTTGGATTTAGAACGTAAAAAGTGATTGTAGAGGAAAACGGAGTGAACAAGTCAATTACAGAGTCCCATCTCCTGGGTCTGCTTTGGAGGTGGGTCAGTCTGAAGTGACTTGCTTGCCAGGAGGAGGAAAGGGGCTAGTGAGGACCCATGTAGTTTATCTTACATAAGGGCACAAAGTTGAGGCAGCACAAATTATACTTTCCACATAGCATACATAACTTTTAGACATGAGTAGATGTGTGCTTGTAATGCCTAAGCACCATGCACTCATGTTCCCGTGTGCAAATTTACACCATCATCTCCATTGGCAAAAACACCGCCAGCAGGAAGGTGAAGCTAGGGTCTACACGTGCACATCAAGTGTAAGTGTCCAGTGCCAAGCAAAGGCAGGCGTCTGTAAAGTGGTTACAGTACAATTGCATGCTCAGGTGATCCTACCTAATCCCTGTGTGCACTTTCTAGGAGGCCATGTTTTGCATATTTGCAAAAAACTCTTGAAGTTACAAGTACAGATGCCCCAACATGAGGGCAGGACCCTAAACCCAAAAACAGCATGTGTGCGTGTGTGTTCACACAGACCTGTACTTTGGCTCATGCATGCGGCCTGCACCTGGGCACGCGGACTCCTACACAGGCATGTTTTACTGAGGCATCTGGGGCACTTTCTTTCAAAGAAAGTTGAGAATGAACATCTAATCTGGGAGTACCAGGGTTCATCTGGAGGTCGCCCAAGGGGTAGAAAAAAATTGTAACAACGCTGGAGCGTTTGTCCTTGGTGAGCCCTGGCTGGAGAACTCAAGGGGCTGCCTCAGGAGCTGGGGTGTGTATGTGGAGGCGGGCGGGAGGGGAAGAGGAGGACTCGGTAACTCTTGGCCGAGGGCTCCCCAAGAAACCTGGAAACACACATTGCGGCTCTTCACTCCCCCTCCCCCCCGCCACGGACGTGTAAGTACAGGATTTCGTCGCCACCTCTCTGACCAGCAGCCCACACCCAGCGCTGACCGACTGCAAATCCCCTGGCAGTCAGGATTCCCACCCGGGGCACCCGCCCGTTCATCTCTGGGTGCCAGGCTGGGACGCGCTCTGGTCCGCAAGAGGCTCGAACGCATCTCCCGCCGCGGGGCGGAATCTGAGTGGCCGGTCCAGGGTTCAGAGGCCGGTAACTTTGCTCATCTCCCCCAGCAGCGGCGGTACGTGGCACCATCGCCAAACCCTGTCCGCGGAGACCAAACAAGGAGAGGAACAGGCTGTAAGCACACGTCCTGACACGTGAGTGACATTTACACGGTGCGAGGAGCCGCGGCCGTCGGGAAGGCAGCGGCGGGGGGAGCAGGCACCGGCAGGTGAACGGATCCTCGCGAGGTGCCGGAAACCGCGGCCCCTCGACGCTCCTCCCCCAGACGTGGGGAGAAGAACCCCGAAGTCGCTCGAACCTGCCTTTTGTGGGAGGTGACAGGTGAACAGAATTCAGGTCTGGCTTCTCTCGCCGCTGCCTACCTCCCCACCATCTGCTTCCTCGCAGACGAGCAGACCCGGCGCATAATGAGGCAGCAGCCTCCAGCCGGCCACCGTGACTAACTCAGAACAAAAGCGCTCCCTCCACGCCTCCTCCAACAAAGGGGCCACCAGTCCCGGCGCTCCCCGAAGGCTGCGGGGCTCCCGGCTGCCGGCTGCGGGG